AGAGAGAGAGAAGNGAGGAGAGAGAGAGAGAGAGATTGATGATGAATCATCCTTGTACATCTCTTCGTGAACACATGCATATGTAGCTTTAACTTCGATGTTCTCCCTATATTTCTTACTGTTCTGAAGCTTTGGTCTTATAAATATAAAAATAGCCCAATTTTGGTGTTGTTCCCTAAGAAATTGAATATGTGAAAAAAGCAGCTGTCTAGCTGCCCTCTTTTTAATATTCTATGTTGTATACTATACTTGTTTGTACTTCATTCACACTTGTTCACATTTGAGGCTATTAATTAGTATTACAACCTTGAATTCTAGGAATGGAGCTGCCCGGAAGTAGGAAATGTATTAAAGAGAAACTCGGTTCCAGACTGGCCACTTCTTGCTACTTACCTGATCAGTGAAGCTAGTCTCATGGAATCTTCAAGATGGAATGAATATATTTCAGCATTGCCTCGACAACCATACTCACTTTTGCACTGGTATATGCTTGAGAGTCACATTGTAGTGCTATTCAATATGGAACAGTATATACACATCATTTCTATGCTAGACGATGCATAGGCAGGCCATTCCACCATACGTTCAAACAAACTTTTATGCATACTGATATTCAGGGTACAATGGTTTATCTCTGCCTTCCATCTTGAGAGTGAATGGTGGATTGCCTGCGTTTGTATTCTATACCATATACATTATGTGGTGTACTTTTCTTGTTCATATTGAGTTATTTCTATACTGCTCATTTTTGTATTTAGCTTTTTCTGGTTTTTTTCCTGATTTTTCTTGTTTTGGATAAGCCAAATGCTATTATAGAAAATTATATTTTTCATAGGCATAATTGGCATGAAAAGCCCTTTCTAAAATATTTGTTATTTTTATATTTTGTTTGCTCCTATTCCTTCTCCAATATAGATTGTGTTTTTTACCATGTTTGGATAGCACATAACAGATATTTTTAAAGGAGAGATGGGTAGGATTTGTGGCAACATTTCACTTGA